TCCAGTTCCATTTTGTGCAGCTTAATTTCCTTTGGGTTTTTTAGAGGGATATTAACAATAATAATCGACAAACTCAAGGAGAAAAATGTGTAAATTACTATGTTATATGAACATTTTTCCCAGAGCAATTCTGGTTTATCACACAAACCTGTAAATATGTATTTACAATTTTAAAAGCACGTCTTTACATCCCTGATTGTAAATGCTCCGTTTTTAAAGTTTTATAACTTGTGTTATTTAACCAAGAGACCACAGCACACACAGCTTGATATTGTATTTGTCCACTCAAAGGATCCATTGCAGTCTGAACTGTGGTAGAAAAATATCCACACCATGAACAAGAAATATCCCATTATTGCACCAAACTTGTCACTGATGATTCTCAGACAACAAAAGCAGATTCTTTAAAGGGGGAGGTGATGGAGTCTATTTTCCCACAAAACTTGGCAATCCAAAATGGTATTATTTCTCTCTGATGATGAGGATAACTTCACCACAGTCAATTCAGGAAAAATCACCATTTTTTTTTCTCCCAGGGCAGAATTTCACAGTTTTGCAGCAAACTTCCTAACCTCCCCCGTGCCTGCTGGTGAAATGTGTGAAATTTTGTCTTTGACTAATATCACCAATTCTCATGAAAATTCAAGGGAAAAAAAAACTCAGGTTTTTGCATGTAGGATTTTGCAAGGCTGACACTGGAAGCTCTGCAGTGCCCTGTGACGATGTTAATATTGAGATGGGTATTAAAAAAAAGACAAGTAGAGATACGATGTGACCTGGTTGGGTGCTTGGATTATGAGCATTCCTTTGGAAAACGGAAGGCTCTGCTGTCTGTCTGCCATTGTAACGAAAAACAATAAACTAATGTGATGAACTTCAACCTGGGGACATGTACTGACTTCTCAGCATTGTCAATCATGCCACCGACTTTGAATCCCAACGGTGCAAAAACAAATTGTTGGAAACGGAGAATCAGTTTCTTGTTACCACCCTAAAACTGCTAATGGAAGTTGTTACCTCCTTAAAAATAACCAAAGGATTTTGTTTTGGAGTGTTGTGGAGTCTCTTTTTTTTTCTGAGGGAAGCTGGAAGAAGAGGGAGGGGAGAAAACTTGTAAGTAAATGAGTATTCCTACAGTGTAAGAGGGGCCATTGTGCCCTGTGTGCACTAATAATTACAGTCAATGGTACAGTCTGACGGCTTCTTTTGTATCAGTCTGCCATCTCTTTGAACAAGACCAAAGCATCACACTAGCCTCTCTGGTCTTTGGGCGCTCCACCCAAACGCATTTTACTCTACCTCTCCAGCCCATCCCTTTCCAGGGACGTGCTGACCCATCACAGTATGGGGACATTGTATGCCATGAGCCATTGCACTGGGACTCGGGGATCCCTGGGTTCTGTTTGGGTACATCTACATGTGCGCTTTAATGTGCAGTAGCCTATTTTACATAAAATCACGTAAAAACTCTGCGATTATGCTAATGCACAGTAAAATAGGCTACTGCGCATTAAACGTCACTTAAAAACCATGCACATTCATTACTGCACACTAAGGCAACCTAACGTGCATTTCGTTAGTACCTAACACTGGAGGTACTAAATGTAATGCTCATTAAAAAAAGCACCTGAATGCACGTGTAGACATGCTCTTTGTGACCCTAACACCAATCTGCTTTGTGACATTCAACAAATCACTTCTCTCTGCCACTCTTTCTTCTCTACCCATGATGTGGTTAGACTGTAAGAGACGGTCCACTCCTGAATGAGCTTATGATGTCCTTCCATCCCAACAGGTACTGCCAAAATAAACCAAACAGGATAAAGTTTAAGAAAAATCCTGAAGAAACAGAGTCTGTCATCTAGGCACGGATAATAGAGAGCTGCTTGAGTCTGAGTTGGAGAGTTTCAGTTGCGAAGCTTAGATGATTTCCTATATTATGAGAGATTCTGGTGACTATCAGTTGAGGCCAGCCCTTGTCAACCATTGCGATTGCCCTTGCACACTGCTTGTGCTTCCCCATGTCAGGAAGTGACCTTCTATAAAGAGAACTCAAAGCTCTTGTTCTGTCTAAATCCACCCTTACCTGCCTGGAAGTCTTCATTCCTTCTCCCCAAACACATTTTTCTATCCTTTATTATCCCTTGTGCGCTGCCATATTTCTCAAGAAAACGAATCATTAGCTCAACCTGTTTCTGTGCACACATCTGATATTGTTCTGAACTCTGGGAGCTGTAGGGCTAGGACAAATCCATGCTGTTCATACAGAGAAATCCAGACATTCAAAAGTGTGGTAAAGAATTATAAATCAGACATCTGAGCATAGCCATATGTCAGAGCCAGGGTGAGTTTTTCTCTTCCATTATTCATTCCCAAATCCACCCCTAGCTTGGAGTTATGAAGCCCTGAAAATGAACTCTGCAGAGTATATGCTGCTAGACTTTTAATTGTGATGGTATGATGGTGTGTTGGCATTTAGTTGGACGTTTCAACATTTAAACAGGAAAAGCTGCGTCTGATGAAGCATCTGCATTGTTGGTGTTTCTGTAATGATACCTTCATTGCTTGTACTGGGCATACATCTCGTTATCCTACATTATGTAGCTCATGTCCTCAGTATCAGGGAGAGAGAAATATTCCCAGCTTGCACCAGAATTTCAGCTAAAAAACTTGCCTGAAAGCCTGACAGAAGGGTCTAGTGACAAGAGTCACAATCATGAGCTTGCGGGGGTCTCAGTCCAGTTCCTCCGAGACAGGTATCCATAGGATACAGGAGGGCACCTCTGCTAGCCACATGAGTAGAAGGACATGAATTAAACAACCAAGAGCACAATAAATCTCACCTGTTAAGGGACACTTTGCAAGGCAAGACAGGCTCAAATATAAAGAGCGTGGAGGGGTCAGAACAAGTCAAAAAGACCTTGTGATCACCTCTCTAACTCAAGGAGGGCTGCCAGCCAAGGAAGAGAAAAGGAGGCATTGTAGAATAGTTGGGAGAGAGGTAGATGAAGGGTGAGATGGTGGTTTTAAGTGCTTCCCACCCATGTTCTCTGAGGCTGCACAAAACCCAAGTGAACGGATATCTCTGCCCCTCATTGCATCCCAAATGCTCCAAAATGGTACAACAATTCTTAGTAGTAATTTATGCTGACTTTTTGCAGTGGATATTTGTTCACTTCTGGAGCAGGAACACAAGTAGATAGCCCAAGCCTGACTGCAGTCTCCAACCACCCTAGGCAGGTGCTCCCAGTGCTCCAGGGATCTGATCCTGTGCTATAATGGTACTGTTTGTCCAGCCCCAGCCCAGAGGCACCTCGAGGTACCCCATGTATTCCCCACTCGATGCTTGCAGGGGATTCCCTTGGGATCCCAGACTGCATATCTCATGCTGCAAAGCAAGGAAACCCCATAGGGCCAGGATCTTGCCCATAAGCCCTGGGAGTGGCAAGGGTCTGATCCTGTAAGACAGCAGTCCCAGGCAGTGCCTGTCTGTGCCAATCCATTGGATCAATGGTGCAAAACATGTCCCAGCACAGCCGATCCTGCCACAAAAATGCTGTGTGCATACCCCGAGTTCTCCTGTATGGCTGCCTGAAAGACAGTCCCAAGTTGATCCCTCTATTACAGGAGGAGAGCCATGATGGAGTCTAGCCTCTTGAGGCAGAAACTGCTTTTCCAAATGAAGGGCTGTATATGGGCAACGGGGTCTTCTCTTTCTTAAAAAGGTGGTGGTGGGAGAGTGCATTATGTGTGCAGCATCCTTCATTCAAACAGCTGATCTGATCAACACCCTTGGGAGCAACTCAGGGCAAGTTTTTTAGAATTTCACATGAGGTGAAAGATCCATTTCCCCCCCCAGAAATACGGAGTTTCTTTCATGCCCCATAAATGTAACCTATTACTTACAGTCACTGCTTTATGTTCTCCTTGATTCCCTCATTTGCAGCCAGGTACAAAATCAGCGGGCTTCCTCTTCCCTGCTGTAGCCTTGATGGTTTTTAATAACATCTAGTTTCAATTATATGAGTAACGGCAAACTTCTCTGAACCACACATCGTTCACTGCCTGGGTGCTTTCTTTGAAGTGTTCTTCAGCTAGTTACCTAATTGTCTTTCATCCGCAAGTGCCATCAGAAGAGCAGCACTCATTCTCCCTTTTAAAGGCCTCGTGGAAGAGGTGAGAAGAAAGACCCTCCTAAAATTAATGTGACTGCTCTTTTGGCATTTTGTGTTGCGTGATATATATTATGCACACTTGCAGCCTCCAGGGAGATAAAAGGATGTGGCGATTTTGAAAGAGCCAACGATGACAATCCCTTTGGAAAAAGAATCTCAGCCTTGTGTGTAAGTACTGATGTAGGTCAGATACATTCAGAAGAGAGAAATCCTGTTAACTCTTATAGCCTTTGATGTCTATGCTCAGGTGCTTCTGGATGGTAGCTAGAGAACAGCATGCACAAAGGTGAAAGAAAATAGGAGGATATCTATCAGCCAGCACGGTAAGTCTGGGATCCCCTCAGTCTATTATCTCATCTCTGATACTGGGATAGCAACCGAAGGCAAAGGACAGAAATGGGAACGCAATGCAAAAATTAAGCTCCGTGGGGTAGTGTGTTTTCCTTGCATACAAAGAATAAAGCTTTTTCCCCTCAAGGCAACAGGTCTGAATCCTGCAGAGCTCAGTGTTGAAAAGTCCCGACCAGCTGATAGCTAACCAGTAGGAGCCTCTGTGAAATGTAGAAGGGTGTGTTCAGATCAGTCTCTCAAGGACACTGGTGTGCACACAAAACTGGCACACCATGTCCTGGCTGCATCTCTCCAGGTCAGGGAGGAAATAGCTCGGAAAGGGGGCCAGGAGGAAGCTTGCTGCATAACAGAGTGCTCTTCAGACAACGAAGGGTGTGTGCTTTGCTGTGGATGATAAGTGGCAGCACCTGTATTGGTCAGATCATTATAAAGGCAGAACAGGTGAGCCCAAACACCTGTTTGGTGATTGTGTTGGGGAAGGGGAATGTGATGCTTTGAATTTGCACCTTAAACTCTTAAACCAGTGGCTGGAGCAACGGGAAAGGGCACGGATTTCTGCTGTGTTGCTCTTCTGAAAGATGGAAAAAGTACTGGACTGCTTTTTGCACAGAAATAATTATTTGTGGTCTTCCAACTAGGTACAAACTATTTTATTAAGATGTGGCTTTGCTATGTAGTTAGTTATTTAATATATTTCTCTTGAAGGGAACCACAAGAGCTATCAAGACTGTTTTTTGGTAATGCTTTCTATACAAAAGGTTAATTATGTTTGTCCCTTTCTTTTCTTAAAGTGTGTGTGTGTGTTGTAGATGTATCTCATACACACTGAAATGACTGCTGTTTTTCAGGATGACTTAATTGTGAAGCCTTTTCAATCAGCTTTACATAAGAGTAAATGATGCTCTGGAGGAGAAGTTATATTACAGTGCTCACTGACAGTGTTGCATCTGCCAGAACAAATGATTTGAGACTTAAGAGCTCAAAGAGACTGGAACGTCTTAAGAAGTGCTAGCCCCAAATGCAACTTTCTTGGAGTTCAGGAGCATTCAAACAGCATAGTTTAAACCCATTTTCACATGTTTCTTAAATGAGTCAACTCCCATGAGTTAGATGGCCCCCTTGGTTACCTTTATGGAAACTATAGCTGTTCTACTTCTGGAGGGTAGCTATCATCGTAACTACATGGCCCTTTCTCCCTTCCCTTTCTTCTCTAACTGCAAGTCTTAAATGCAATATTGATTTCTGGAACACATCAACTAAATTCCAGGATGTCGTCTTTAAATGTCCAGTAATTTCCCCCCTCGTCTGTATTTGATCTTGTTTGATGTTTAAGAAGCCACACACACATGTGAATCCTACTTCAAAATGTTTGTCATATTTTGCTGGTGAACTTCATTTTAGATGCCTGGATTAATGCTGCCCTGTTTTGATTGTCCTCTGCTTCCAGTGCTCTTTCCTCTATGGCTAGGGACAGAAATTGCACATAAATCAATACAAATGATCAGAAACTGGCTGAAACCTGTAACACAACACTAGGGACAGGAGTTGCACATACACCAGTTTAAGTGATCAGAAACTGTTTGAAACCTGTAACAGAACAAAAGTTCGGTGCAATTAAAAACCAGTTTTAAAATGGCTGAAGATAAACCTGGCTGAATATAGTCTCAGATTTAACTGAATTAGGTCAAAATGGTTTATGAAACTTCTGTCCCAGACCAGTACATAGCTTATTCTTCCCGGTTTGTCAAAAATGGGCTTTTCCTGCACAGATATGTATTAAATACTTTGTCTGCTCTCTCGGAGGTTCTTCATTTTGTTATGACCTTCTCTCTGTCCTGTTACAACCTTGGCTATTAGTTTATTTTTCTAACCATGGAAGAGAAATGAGTACCAAATAGCTTGTACTTACCTAGGCCCAGGTTGTTTTTGTGCTCTTTCCTTCTACTCTGCAGCTGCGTAAGACTCTCTTGGCCAGATCTGCAGGAAGCTGTGTGGCAAGGCTTCTCAACTCCCTGTCAGATCAACTGAACCTCAATAAGAAGAAAATAAGTTGTTACATCTTCATAAAATGACATTGGGGCCTTGTCAGTGGGAATGTTAGTCGGTTCAGACAGAATGCTACTCAAGATTAAATAGCTGAATCTACTCTTTATCAAATCATCCGGTTCTATAATCACTTGGCTACTCTGTTTCCAAACAGACTGGGCTAATGTACTGGGGGGTGGGAGGTAGGACTTTCTGATGGACATATCTATTGGATGTTGTCCTGGTCTCTTCCCCTAGGGGAAAGGTTAAAAGCCCTGTTGTTTCAGATGCTTTTGGTGGCTTGGCCTCCCAATAAATGTGTTGGCTGAGAGCATCAAGGTGGATTGGACAAAGTGTTTCTAAACCAGCAGTAGCACACGAGTCCATACTAATCCCTGAGAGAGGGCAAGTTCAGGTTATGAATGTCTGCTGTCACCTCTGGGATATCGCACTGGTTGGGACTCTGCATTACTCTAGCTTGTATGAACACCTCCAGAAGTAACAGCAAAGAGATTTCCTTTGCACATTTGTACCAAACAGATTGGAGTCCTCTACCTTGGGCAGACATAAGTCCCATGGATGCAACGTGGTTATGCACTATGTTTTTTTAAATAGACAAAAATGCAATACGTGTGCGTTCAGGTGTGCAGCAATATACTTTGAACATTATTTGCTATTTTTAACCTTCTAGCAACTACAAGCCCCACTGAGTATACCCTGCTATTAGGCTAGTGTATGACCATACATGCAAGGCCATCCCTGTCCCAAGAAACTGTATCAACCAACTTAAGAACTAAATTCAGATGACAGTCTCGTGACCAAATCTCCTTTCTCTGCACCCTATAGACTTCTGCTAAGAACAATGTCATCACTTCCATGGCTCATTGGGCTTGGAGACGAGCTGTAATGTCCTACAAGTGCACTTACCTGGAAGAACAAGTGTGGCACTTAAAGTAAGGGACAGAACATGCAGTAATGATTTCAGTAGCTAAAAGCTGAGCAAATTTAAGTTCCATTGACTTGAACTGGTACGACTAGTGCACTAATTAAAATGGGGCCACTAATATTTTTACAAGCCTCCTGAAAATTGAAGAAAATTGTAAAGAAAACTAAAGTGACAGGATTTAAAAAAAAAAAAATGACCATAACAGACAGCCATCAGCCCATAACTACTGAGATGCCTATTCCTCCTCTTTCTGCACCTCCTGAGTAGGATGGGCGAAGAGATCTTTCAAGACCATTTCTGTTTCCTTAGCTTAGCAGGTAAAGGAGCTGGGTAGGAGGGGTAGTATTTTCTATTGATTTTGTAGCTCCATACTACTGATCATCATCATAGTATCTGACATGCTTTCCACACGCAATCAATAGCAACAAGCAAACTCTCCAATCTGTTTTTTAAATGATCACCTTTGCACACAGAGGATTTATTTTTTCCCATGCACTGCATGGCACCAAATAGCTTGCTGCTTTCAAGGGCAGCCCTTACTCGAGCAGTACTGGAGGCCAGTCCTAGCCCATGGTCTCTGGCTTAAGACCATGTGAGCAGGAAATATTGCTGTGGCTACTTGTGACTGCAGCTGCTGCTGTTTCCACCCTTTCTACACATGATCTGAAACATTTTCTCCCTTTATCTTACAGAAAACACGAGTGCAGGGTATTTGCAATGCAAAGGCCTTGGCGGCTGGCCACTACTGCCTTCTTGCTTTCTTCCACTTTAAGGCAGCATGTTGGTTCCACTGTTACTGCTGTGGTTCACTGCATGCCAAGAATAGAAATCCTCCTCTAAGTGCCTGTGAGACTGGGGAATTGAACTAGCTCACCAGGCACCACTGATTCTTGCTTGTGCTAGAATATTCAAGGGTAAAATCCTGCTCGTCTGATCTTGCAATGAAAGAAAACCCGTAGCAGACTACCCTGGGAGATGGGCGTCTTCAAAACAAGGAGAGAAAAAAGCAAGTCTCAAATCAACCTTGTTTACTGAAGGTGGAAGGATAACCCCTCCTGTGCCAGCACAGGCAGCAGCTCGTAACAGAATTGTGCCACTCTAAAGCTGCAAGAACTTGCCTTATTCCAGATACGGGGAACTGGAGCACAGAAGGGCTAAGGGAGTTGCCCAAGATGGTGTAAGTCTGTAGCAGAATTGGGAGTTGAACCCAAACCTTTTGAAGCACAGGCTAACACCTTAACCACTGGATCATCCCACCTCTGGAGAGGGAAGAGGTATTCTGAATTTAAAAATGTTTCAAGGGCTCAGTTGCTGTGGTAGAGGACATAATAGAAACCCACTGAATAAAGCATTAAGTCATACCCATTGCAAGAAAAGACTGTTCAAAGGAAAATGAATTACATAATGTTTTACCAGCTTAAGATAATATGGGGCTCTAGAAGCTCTAGGGGCTTTTTAGTCTTTCTTGTGCTGTTTTCATGAGTTTTGTTTTTTTTTTTTTTTTACTCTTAATAGTGAATTATCCCTCATACTTGCAAATGCTCCACTCAATGTGTAATGAAGAAGTGCTCTATCAGCCTGTTAGCCAACCATGTTTGTACTGTAATGCATAGGGTCTGTATGGGAGTTGACTGCCAGGTGTCTCACCCAAGTCTTTTGCTCCGGTTTGAGTGTGTGTGTGTGTGTGTGTGTGTTGCACAACAAGTTTTCCCACTTGAGCTGCTGTTTTGTGCGGGGTGGGGAAAACTCCTGTAGAGCAGCTTGCTCCACCTGCTTCTCATCTGAGCAGCCCCCCCCCCCCACACACACACACGTTGGAGGCTTTGCCCTGAGACTTCTACCAGTCTATAGGAGCAACAAGCTTCACGGACCAAATAAAATAAACATGGTCAAGTCCCAACATCTGTCACTTCATAAGAAATACTTTACTGTATGAACAGAATTCCATCAATATTCATTAGTGCGGTAATAACCTGCAGGTAGTCGATCCATAGCAAACACTCCACATGGGCACTTGCACATCTTTTTAGCTGAGAAACGTCAGTCAAAAGTCACTGACATTCCTCTATCCAGGCAGAGTGAAACTCCAAGAGCCTTCAGGTCACTATGAATATAAAACTTTGAAGCCTGACCCCAGTTCTTTCCTTCGAATAGTGAAAATAGGTATGTGTAGAAATGATCTGAGCACGCTTTTGTATTGGCAGGAATTGTTGTAAATCTAGGACATCATAACAGCTGATCAAACTCCATGACAACTTAAGTTGAAAAATATTGAAAATGTTCCAGAGCTGAAACCACTTCCCAGTTCGTTTCCTTTTTGCTCTTGAACATGTGTAGTCACATGCCAGTTCCTGGAAAACTAGTCCAAACCCAAGAGTTTTAGTGTCAGTCTGAAAACTTAATTTTTGTGTGTGGTTAAAACCATGTTTGTTACTACCTGTTTTCTAAACGTTGATAATCTGCATCATGGACCCTGCTCTGCAACTACGTCACTCACAAAGCGTTCACTTTGAAATATCGAAGTATGCTTTCCAGTTGTCCCCAAAGTGAGTGAAAAGGTTTAACTCTTTCAGGTTAGAGTTGTGTTTTTGTTTGTTTGCTTTTTCCCCTAAGAACTTAATTGTGCAGGTGGGCTTTAATCTGTAGCTGCACCACAGGAGTTGATTTTAATTTAGCTTCTAATGTATGTGTTACACTAGCAGGCAAGGTTCTTTGGGTAGATGTGATCTCTGTTGGTCTAATAAAAGATTAGTTGGAAAAAAGTGTTTTGCACGCTTTTGGGTGCAATCGCCCTTCTTCAGTCATGGGGAGTCTCTGCTTACTAGTAACTTACTTGTAAGAAGTGTTATACTAGTGTCACTTCAAACTGGAGAAAGCTGCAGGGTTGCAACAGGTGAGAATCCGGTGTAGCAGTTCTGCCGAATTTAATTTGCGCACTGAAAAGAAAGGATGCGTTTGTGAGAATAGGGTCACAGTGCTCAGCATTCGAGAGCAATGAGACCTTGGCATCCTGTCGCTGAAATCTAGGAGCTGTTTCCACCTCCCCATCCCCGATCTTTTTACAGTACTTGAAAACCCATCCTTTTTTTTTTTTTTTTTTTTGAATGGGCAAATCTCATGGTGCTTTGAAGTGTAAGGAACTTCCTGAAGTGTTTTTTGTAAACACTTTTAAATAGGTCCTTCAAACACTTTTTTTTAGTCACTTAAACCAACGAGGACCCTCATGGCCCTGCGCTGCTGCTGCTGCCCCCCCAGTATTTCAGTAGTTAAAAACTGGTTGGTTGGTTTGTTAGTTTGGGGTTTTTTAATCTTTTTGGTTTTGTTTTTTTGGGTTTCATAGTTTCTAGGGTCGGAAGGGACCTGAACAGATCGTCAAGTCTGACCCCCTGCCCTGGGCAGGAACGAGTGCTGGGATCATAACACCCCAGACAGATAATCTATCCAACCTCCTCTCTTGGGTTTTTGTTCCTTTTTCTAGAGAAGAGAGTATTAGATGCAGTAAAAGCCTGGTTTGCAGGAGTGGCTGCTCTGTGGAATACGTATGTTGGGTAGCATGTATAATGGCGCTCAGAAGCATTTCAAGAGCATGAAGGCTGTCAAGTCAAGCACTTGGGTTAGAAAATGACAGAACTAAATTGTACCTCTGCAGCCACTAATTCTGACCGAGCCATTAAGCTGGGTCAGAATTTTTATTTGACAGGCCTCTGGGCAGGAGAGATTTAATATGTTTTTACTGGACCAACCCTATAGTTGTCTAACATTTCTCCCAACTATCCAGTAAGATATTGCCAAACAAATCCTGCTTCTTCCATCTCCTGGAACAGCATGACTATAACACCACTGCTCCAGGAAATGCTTTTTCATTGACAAGAACACTTATTTCTCAGGAATGTATATGCTATTTGGGCTTATTAAGGGAGTTGCAGAGACCATGAGAGAGGCAAGCTAAAAGTTTTGCAGTTTAGGAGCCTAGATCCCTGTGGCTGCACCCCAGAACATCAGTCACAGAGAAAATCGGACAGATTCATAGATTACAGAGTCAGAAGGGCCCACAAAGGATCATCGTGTCCGACCCCCTGCCCCTGGCAGGAAAGAGGACTGAGGTTGGATGACCCCAGCCAGGTGACTATCAAGCCTCCTCTTGCAGACCTCCAAGCTAGGTGATGGCACCACCTCTCTTGGAAGCCCATTCCAGATCCTGGCCACCTTTACTGTGAAATAAAAAATAAAAAAAAAATTCTTCCTAGTGTCTAACCTAAATCTACTCTCTGCTCTGGGGACTTTAACTGATAAGAAAATGAGTCTCTATTGAATGAACAAATGGATTGCTTTGAAAAAGAAGCTAAAACTTGGCCAAACTTGAGCAGTTTATTTTCACAAGGAATGCACACACACAAAAAAAGGTGCACATCCATGATGCAGGTTAGCCCTTTGATAAATTAAGTCTCTGCCCCAACGTACAAGTAAACTGAAACTTTTGAAAGAAATGGTTGCCATAATCTCTCTTGCTGTGGTTAAAATAGCGTTGGTTTGTTTGTTCATGAGTGTTTTTTTTTTTCTTAGTCTCTTCGTGTTAACCGTTCAGTCTTACTACCTGCCAATTAAACAAAAACCGTCTACCTGGGGTGGATATCGGGCATGGACTACTTTATCCAAAATGCTTAACCTTTGGCAAATGATGTAAGAAATGGAATACAATCGTTACCAAGTGCTGGACAAACTTACAGAAAGAGTTAAAGGCTCTGCTTATTAGATACAATTTAAATAATTTTGCCCCGAGAACTAACGAGTTTCACTGGGAATGGCTTGGTAAGCTACTCTTGAGAATGGAAAGTCCCAGCCCAGCGCTTACTGTCTTTTTAATGGGAGTTGAGCAGCTAGTTGTTTTATGGTGCCTTGGCCAATTCCTCCTTTGTCCCATTTTTCCCTTGTTTCTTTATTTTTTTTTTTCATCTCTGATCTTTCAGTTTAGAGACAACACACAAAGTCACTGTAACTTCTCCTTATTCACGCATGAATGAGCTGAACTGTTGAATCTGCAGTATACAGTAGCCATCCAAACAGATTCAGAGCTGAGCAAAACAAGCACGTCCATCCTAAATTCAGGGCACCTACCGAGTCATAGCAG